CCATCTCCTGCCGCTGTCAACCTCTCTTCCACATCCTCCCGCAGCCGCCAACGTCTCTCTCACCTTCTCCCTCCGTCGCAAGCACTCCCCCACAACTTAGATTTCGCGATCTTCTCTTCCGGTAAATCGCACATCTCTCGCTCGCTCTCTCACTCTCTCTCTCTCTCTCTCATGCTTTTGTGGAAGGGGGTTTTGGTGGCGATGGGGAGGGAGTGTAAGATCTATGGTGCCACTGCAAACCCTAGCCGATGCCAGTGATGACGCCGCCACTCCACTAGCCATGTCATCCTCTCCACCCTTGTTCACCACCCTTGCAGCACCTCTCCCATCAGCTTCCCCCTCCAGCCCCCTCCCTCCGATACCCTTCTCCCACCATTCTTTCCCTTCTTCTTCTTCTTTTTCCCTTCGCCTTTGAAACCCTAAATCTCTACTCTCTGAAACCTTAGATCCGAAGTGTGGGAGGTTAAAGGGCAGATCGCAATGGTGGCTTAAAGAAGAGAGGGCAAGTGGGAGGGGCTAACACCGGCGTCGGCGACAGAGCTGGGTTGTAGGCGGTGGCGGTGGTGGGGTGTGTGATTAAGGGTAAAAATGGAACATTGCGTGTGTATTGAACAAAATTATTATTTATTAAATTATTAAATGTGTGAATTAAGTATTGGTGTGTCTTGAGATGATATGTGGTGTGTAAATAGAGACACCCATAAGTTGTCATATAAACTATCTTTACTTTTTTGCACATCTTTTTGTAAAAAGTAAAAAAAATATATATATTCCCAAACAAGATCTTAGTATACTTATTTTAAAAGTAGGAGATTAACTATATTTTTTTTTTCAAGTACCCATAAATTTACGTTATACATAAATAAAACAAATGTTAATCAGGGTTAAATATTAAAAATGTAAGAAAAATACATTAAAAATCAAATGTTCAAATAATAAGACTTATTAAAATATAAAAATATCTTATGAACTAATTGAAATACAAATACTTAAAAAAAAAATTTCTCTAAAATTATATCAATATATATATATTAGTATTATTTTCTTTGTAATCTAGGGAGCCAATAAATAATGTTTTCCTTCTTAATATATATAGATTAAAAATATTGTTTAGCAGTAAATATTGTTTAAGATTTTTTTATATTTATTGTTTTTTAAAAAAAAAATCAGCATATTTTGAAAACTTAATAAAATCATTTTTTTAACCAAATTTTTTGTCCACCCACCCACCCCCCCACCCAAAACCCTATCTCCGAACCATCCTCTCTCTCACACACTCACACACACACTCACCTCCAGCACCAACTAGATCTTTCTTCTGTATCTCTCTTCCCTCCCTAATCCACATTCAAACTTAAATCCCACCATCTCTCTCTCAGAGGTACATTTGATCTCGATCTTGATATCGATCTCAATTGTGATACCTGCAATGTTTAATTTATTGGGTTTTGACTATCTCTTCGATTTCTACTTCACATCTATATGTTTTTGGATTAACTGTGTTAAATTCAAGGCCTTCTTGATTGTTTATATTTGTGTATTATGTGGGTATGTGTTGATATTTTGAAGTTCACAATTCTTACACGATTCGAGGGATTGGAAAAGAAAAAAGAAAAAAGAAAAAGAAAAAGATTGTGATCTCTCATCTTGGTGAGAAAAGAAAGTGTTTTCACTATCATGTTTGATTGAGTAAGAATGCAAAGTATGTGATATAGTGATATACGAATGGAATTTATTTTATATTTTAATATTGGTATTATGAAAAATATACGTTCAATCAGTTTGTTTCTCACCACTTTTGGTGAGCTTATAAGATAAGAAAGTTCTCTTTCTCACGATTTTTCATCGTTTCTGACCATTTGTTACTGACTTATAAACCAAACATGAGAAAAGAGTTCTACTTTATTTCTTATCATTTCTCACCAGATCACTCAATCCAAACTGACTGTTAAAACGTGATTTTGTTTTTATGGTTTGTCTAATTGCTTATTTATGTAAACTAATTGGGTCTGTTTCTGTTAAATTGATTAGCTTTAGTTGGGTTGGGTATGTAATAATGGTGCGTTTAGGTGTTCCATGAAAATTGAGTCCCTGTCTTGTATATTGTACTGTAATAAGTAACAAAGAGAAACAGAAACGAGAAGAACCAAATTAATGAAAAATGCTAATTATGCAGAACTTTTATATTGAAAATCCAAACAGGATGTTGTGTGTTAGTGGCATTTTTTCAAATATGAATCAAAGTGATTGGCTCTTTGATTTCCAATGAATGAGTGTAAAGATGCCACATCACTTTGTTTGAAGTTCTTTTATATAAATTCTGTTTGTCTAACATTACCCATAAGTCAATGATCTTATTCTTAGTTTATGTATTAACACCTATGAGTCATTGTGATGAAAATGCAGGTGTTGTGGAGGATTAATTTTTAACATGTATATATAATTATATATACATACACACTTACCAAACCTGCTCCTGTACCAAGATTGAGGGTTGTACATTAGATTAATAGATATGCATATGAGGAAGATGAAAGTAGGAAATGTTATAGAACCAAATGAATTTCCGATTGAAGTTCATTAATGTTTGGAAGTGCTTGTGTGATAAAGGAGAAGTTTGGTTGATCAAATTTGTTTCATAAGATTTTGAATTTTAAGAAACTTATTGATGAATGGAGTGAGAAAGTTCATGAAATTCAATATACAAGAACAATGGGTATATTCAAAATTGTACTGATTATTATTATATAATTTTTGTACATATGAGGAAGGTGAAAGTAGGAAAAGTGGTATGACCAAAAGGGTGTGTGGTGTGATTTTAGGATATTTACTCAGTTGAAGGAAATTTTTTATAGGATTGCTATAAGACTTGTTATCATGAGATGTTGACGTCTGATCCACATGCCCAAGTCCACGACCACGATCACGACCACGACCACGACCACGACCATATAGTACCTACAAAAAAATTAAAATAATATTACATCAAAGGAACCATAAAATAAAATGGAACTTTAAATGAATGAATGACAAAATAAAAGAGGAAAGGTGAAAAATAAATTACTTCACTGCATGCGGGACTATTTGAGGCTTGCGAGTGATAACTACTTGCATTGTTAAGCAATGCTTGATAGGTTCCATGCACGGAATACATCGATGGCATTGAAAAATGCAATTTGTGATGAAGAAAACTTGGCTGCAAGAATAACATATCAATTTAAAATGATAATAGTCACCTACAAATCCCTACTAAAACTTCTTATTAAACTAACTTACATCATAGGCGGGATACATAAATTGAGACGAAGAAGCTCTAACTTGAGGAACACTCGGCGAGAATGGAGGAAGTTGAGGAGCACTTGAAAATAAAGGAGCCGACTGAGGAAATAAGGGAGGTGCTTCAGGAGCACTTGCCGAAAATAAGGGAGGAGTTTGAGGAGTAACGGACATGGAAGTTTGAGAAGCATTATGTGAACTTGTTTTATTTTTCTTTGCCAACGCAAGCTCCAAACCACCTTTTGTCCGCCTTCGTCCCTTACTAGTGCACTCTCTTCTCTTGAGTCCTTTTGCTTGAACTACATTTTTTTCCGCTACACCATCCACTTCAAAGCTTTGGAGGCATGTATCTGGGGGCTTTCTTGTTGAATTGTATCTGAACAAGGCATATTGAATTTTGCGCTTAACATGGTTGCAGTGTTTACAATTAATTCATCCAATTTCTCTACCGTCAAATTATATGTTTCCTCACTTTCAAAAGCTCTACACGCTACTGCTCTGAATATTGCCATCAATGACCTATAGCGTGAAGTTTGATGCAATCTTACATCAACCTGAATATCATGCCCACACCTATCTTTCACATTTTCAGATCTTGCTTTTTTAGTCCATCTCTTCAGAATATACTGTGAAGGAATCTCTTTCAAATTGAGTCTTTCTCTAAGGATCTTCAAACAATGACTACACAAAATGCCCTTCATTTCAAACTTCCTACAATTGCAAGTGACCGAATCATCACACTCCTGCCTCACCTTCCTCACCCTTATACCATCACTATCAAGAACCGTATAAACGGTACTCTCACCATCATTTTCAATTTTTTCAATGTTGACTTCAAGGGACTTGACATACTCATCCTGAAATTCTTCAAAAATTTTATTTGTGTAAACATCTGCAGCTTGCTCCATAATCTTCACTTTAATATTCACCCTGGGCAACTTTTGGCATAGAGCATATGTCATGGAAAACATAAGGCCAAGTATCGGCTAACATTGAAAACTTTTAATATCATGCATCTATCATTTCTTGATAATTAAAAAAGGCAGCAATTGTTATCTGAAAATCTATCATACAACATGAAACTATTGCATAGCAGCATGATGTAAGCATTTTCAATTATGAAGAGCTCCTAACTCTAGGCACTTGCACATTAAACTTCAGCATATAAAAATAAATGATGGGAGCTGTTTGGAGCAGGATGGGGAAAAAAACACATAGGGTCAAGAAGAACTCCCACACTATATGTATATCAGGACAAGAATTCCAGCAGATAGAAATCTTTGAACATTTTTACAGACTACAAGAATTCTACAGACTACTAAATCCAGCAGCAACCTTTTTACACCTTTAATATACATCCATCAACAACAATGAGTGACAGCAACAAGAACCCCAGCAGATAGACTGCCCACAGCAGAAGAACAGAAAATTTGAACATTTCAACAGAAAATTTGAACATTTCAACAGAAAATTTGAACATTTCAACAGAAAATTTGAACATTTCAACAGAAAATTTGAACATTTCAACAGAAAATTTGAACATTTCAACAGAAAATTTGAACATTTCAACAGAAAATTTGAACATTTCAACAGAAAATTTGAACATTTCAACAGAAAATTTGAACATTTCAACAGAAAATTTTGAACATTTCAGCAGAAGAACCCAAGGAATGCTGCCAGCAGGAACATTTGAACATTTGAACAGAAAATTTCAACATTTCAACATTAGTTTCAGCAACATTTACTGAGTAATTTGAACAGAAAATTTTTAGCAACAGTTTGATGAAAGGTTTTGAATATTACATATCCAACAAAAAATTCACACAAATTCCCAAAACAAAATAACGCTAAGACGTTGGCGTGTGATCCACATCCCCATGCCCACGGCCGCGCCCACGACCATATAGTACCTACAAAAAAACTAAAATAATATTACATCAAAGGAACCATAAAATAAAATGGAACTTTAAATGAATGAATGACAAAATAAAAGAGAAAAGGTGAAAAAAAAATTACTTCACTACATGCGGGACTATTTGAAGCTTGCGAGTGATAACTACTTGCATTGTTAAGCAATGCTTGATAGGTTCCATGGCCGGAATACATCGATGGCATTGAAAAATGCATATTGTGATGAAGAAAACTTGGCTGCAACAATAACAAACACATATCAATCTAAAATGATAATAGTCAGCTACAAATTCGTACTAAAACTTTTTATTAAACTAACTTACATCATAGGCGGAATACATAAATTGAGACGAAGAAGCTCTAACTTGAGGAACACTCGGCGAGAATGGAGGAAGTTGAGGAACACTTGAAAATAAAGGTGCAGACTGAGGAATTAAGGGAGGTGCTTCAGGTGCACTTGCCGAAAATAAGGGAGGAGTTTGAGGAGTAACAGATATGGAAGTTTGAGAAGCATTATGTGAACTTGTTTTATTTTTCTTTGCCAACGCAAGCTCCAAACCACCTTTTGTCCGCCTTCGTCCCTTGCTAGTGCACTCTTTTCTCTTGAGTCCTTTTGCTTGGACTACATTTTTATCCGCTACACCATCCACTTCAAAGCTTTCGGGGCATGTGTTGGGGGGGCTTTCTTGTTGAATAGTATCTGAACAAGGCATATTGAATTTTGCGCTTAACATGGTTTCAATGTCTGCAATTAATTCATCCGCTTTCTCTACCGTCAAATTATATGTTTCCTCACTTTCAGAAGCTCTACACGCTACTGATCTGAATATTGCCATCAATGACCTATAACGTGAAGTTTGATGCAATCTTACATCAACTTGAATATCATGTCCACACCTATCTTTCACATTTTCAGATCTTGCTTTTTTAGTCCATCTCTTCAGAATATACTGTGAAGGAATCTCTTTCAAATTGAGTCTTTCTCTAAGGATCTTCAAACAATGACTACACAAAATGCCCTTCATTTCAAACTTCCTACAATTGCAAGTGACCGAATCATCACACTCCTGCCTCACCTTCCTCACCCTTATACCATCACTATCAAGAACCGTATAAACGGTACTCTCACCATCATTTTCAATTTCTTCAATGTTGACTTCAAGGGACTTGACATACTCATCCTGAAATTCTTCAAAAATTTTATTTGTGTAAACAGCTGCAGCTTGCTCCATAATCTTCACTTTAATATTCACCCTGGGCAACTTTTGGCATAGAGCATATTCAGCTTGTAACTCTTTGTACCTTTTCTCAGACAGAACTCGATCAAAATGCATGAAAAATTGCATTAAGTTATGATCAGACCGAATGAAATCCTTCAAGAAAGCATTAAAGGATTCACTAAGTTGGGTGCTACTCATGCCCGCACCCCATGCATTTCTAACATATGGCAAACCCCATTTTTCCTTGACCCCAAATGTTAACTTCAACCAATGATTATCTGTTACTTCATACTTGTCAAGCATTTCCTCCCATTTTAACATAAACTCTTCCTCATCCTCAATGTCGTACATAAACGTGTATAAAACACTCTTCACCCCCTTATCCTTCATCGACTTATCCTTGAAGATAGAATTTGCATGCCTTAATGCATTTTGCATCAAATGCCAAGTGCAAAGGCGGTGGGTTGTGTTAGGCATGACAATAGGTATGGCCTTAGCCATTGCAGCATCCTGATCCGTAAAAATTGTTTTTGGAGCCTTACTTGACATTGCCTCCAAGAATCTTCTAAAAAGCCATACGAAAGAATCGGCAGTCTCATCATACATCAAAGCTGCACCAAATACCACAGTTTCCCTATGATGGTTCAATCCAACAAAAGACGCAAAGGGTCTATGTGCACTATTTAACTTGTAAGTAGTGTCGAAAGTGACAACATCACCAAATTGCCCATAATCCATGATCATCTGAGCATCGGCCCAAAATATGTTCGTAATCTGCTCCTCGTTATCTAATTGGACCGAGTAAAAAAAAGATGGATTCTCCAATGATTTGTCACGAAAATATTGCAAAATGCTACCTGCCTCCCCATATGCTAAACTGTTTTGCCTCTTCGTTCTCAAATAATTTTTTTGGTCAAGTTTTGTAAACCCAAGCGACTCCCTTCCACCAACTTCATTACCCATGAGCTCAAATGCAGCATTAAGACGGATTCCAGATTTTTCGGCTAAATCTATTTCGGTTGCCTGTGATGAAGATATCTTCCTTTGGGATGGTAACATATGCGTACATTCTGCTGGTACGAAGATATGATTATGTTGTTCAACAAAATCACTAACAAAAAATTTCTACATATTCCTATCCCACTTAATGACAACTCGGGCTTGACAACCAGTCCTCACTTCCTGCCTAGGATTTTTTGTTAATGAATCTCGCTTGTCGACAACCAGAAATCCCTCCTTATTACAAACAAATTGCCTTGAAGTGATTTGCCCCTCTTTGCTCTTGTTTACATAACCCCTTCTAATACTAAAGCCCAACCTTCCTCCATAAGTATTATAGAAATCATATGCTTCTTGTTCTGTATCAAATGTCATGCGAACTCTAGGCTTCCAATCACACTCACCCCCGTCATTCTCATGATTGTTAGGTTCCATATCAATGTGCCAAGTCACTTAAAAATAAAAAAGTGCTCAATATTAGCATAAAAACTGTATAAAAACCAAATAATATAATTAACGAATAACAAACGTACCACCTGAATATATATAAACAAACAAGGAAAAATTCTACTAATTAATAATTTTTACACTCTTATGATCAATAATTACTAGACCATATCAGGCCAAATAAGAAATGAAGCAGATAAATTCACTAGTAAAGCATCAGCTACCTTTCCATATTTCTAACTAGTCATTTTCTATAATCTGAAATCCCATGTTTGCTAACTAAGAGTTGAAAGGAAAATAAGTGCAACAAAACTAAAAAGACTGATCATATGCTTAGTTTAATTTGTATTTCCTTGGGCCTTAAATAGAAAATACTATAATAATAAACATTTTAAGTTTCTTCTTCTTCCTCACATTTAATTAGAAACCAAATTGACAAAAGGAAAAACAAGCACAATAGACACTTCCTAAATTAATAATTGACAAAAGGAAAAACAAGCACAATAGACACTTCCTAAATTAATAATTGACAAAAGGAAAAACAAGCACAATAGACACTTCCTAAATTAATAATTGACAAAAGGAAAAACAAGCACAATAGACACTTCCTAAATTAATAATTGACAAAAGGAAAAACAAGCACAATAGCTTTAATTTTAGTTTATTCTTCAGCGTTGAGATTGAGGAACTGATGAGTGACAAAAATGGGAAAGAAACAGAAATTCCATTTTTCAAATAAATTCAACTCTCAATCCCATGTTCCCAAGTCTCAGTATTTTTTTGTCCCAATATACTCTCAACTGCATCATTTCTTGGACATTTTGAGAAACAAAATTCTCGAGATATAAAACTATACTGTTGAAGTGTATTGAGACAAATGAATAAATAGATTTGAGATTCAGTAAGCATCATTTCTTGGACATTTTGAGAAACAAAATTCTCGAGATATAAAACTATACTGTTGAAGTGTATTGAGACAAATGAATAAATAGATTTGAGATTCAGTAAGCATCATTTCTTGGACATTTTGAGAAACAAAATTCTCGAGATATAAAACTATACTGTTGAAGTGTATTGAGACAAATGAATAAATAGATTTGAGATTCAGTAAGCATCATTTCTTGGACATTTTGAGAAACAAAATTCTCGAGATATAAAACTATACTGTTGAAGTGTATTGAGACAAATGAATAAATAGATTTGAGATTCAGTAAGCATCATTTCTTGGACATTTTGAGAAACAAAATTCTCGAGATATAAAACTATACTGTTGAAGTGTATTGAGACAAATGAATAAATAGATTTGAGATTCAGTAAGCATCATTTCTTGGACATTTTGAGAAACAAAATTCTCGAGATATAAAACTATACTGTTGAAGTGTATTGAGACAAATGAATAAATAGATTTGAGATTCAGTAAGCATCATTTCTTGGACATTTTGAGAAACAAAATTCTCGAGATATAAAACTATACTGTTGAAGTGTATTGAGACAAATGAATAAATAGATTTGAGATTCAGTAAGCATCATTTCTTGGACATTTTGAGAAACAAAATTCTCGAGATATAAAACTATACTGTTGAAGTGTATTGAGACAAATGAATAAATAGATTTGAGATTCAGTAAGCATCATTTCTTGGACATTTTGAGAAACAAAATTCTCGAGATATAAAACTATACTGTTGAAGTGTATTGAGACAAATGAATAAATAGATTTGAGATTCAGTAAGCATCATTTCTTGGACATTTTGAGAAACAAAATTCTCGAGATATAAAACTATACTGTTGAAGTGTATTGAGACAAATGAATAAATAGATTTGAGATTCAGTAAGCATCATTTCTTGGACATTTTGAGAAACAAAATTCTCGAGATATAAAACTATACTGTTGAAGTGTATTGAGACAAATGAATAAATAGATTTGAGATTCAGTAAGCATCATTTCTTGGACATTTTGAGAAACAAAATTCTCGAGATATAAAACTATACTGTTGAAGTGTATTGAGACAAATGAATAAATAGATTTGAGATTCAGTAAGCATCATTTCTTGGACATTTTGAGAAACAAAATTCTCGAGATATAAAACTATACTGTTGAAGTGTATTGAGACAAATGAATAAATAGATTTGAGATTCAGTAAGCATCATTTCTTGGACATTTTGAGAAACAAAATTCTCGAGATATAAAACTATACTGTTGAAGTGTATTGAGACAAATGAATAAATAGATTTGAGATTCAGTAAGCATCATTTCTTGGACATTTTGAGAAACAAAATTCTCGAGATATAAAACTATACTGTTGAAGTGTATTGAGACAAATGAATAAATAGATTTGAGATTCAGTAAGCATCATTTCTTGGACATTTTGAGAAACAAAATTCTCGAGATATAAAACTATACTGTTGAAGTGTATTGAGACAAATGAATAAATAGATTTGAGATTCAGTAAGCATCATTTCTTGGACATTTTGAGAAACAAAATTCTCGAGATATAAAACTATACTGTTGAAGTGTATTGAGACAAATGAATAAATAGATTTGAGATTCAGTAAGCATCATTTCTTGGACATTTTGAGAAACAAAATTCTCGAGATATAAAACTATACTGTTGAAGTGTATTGAGACAAATGAATAAATAGATTTGAGATTCAGTAAGCATCATTTCTTGGACATTTTGAGAAACAAAATTCTCGAGATATAAAACTATACTGTTGAAGTGTATTGAGACAAATGAATAAATAGATTTGAGATTCAGTAAGCATCATTTCTTGGACATTTTGAGAAACAAAATTCTCGAGATATAAAACTATACTGTTGAAGTGTATTGAGACAAATGAATAAATAGATTTGAGATTCAGTAAGCATCATTTCTTGGACATTTTGAGAAACAAAATTCTCGAGATATAAAACTATACTGTTGAAGTGTATTGAGACAAATGAATAAATAGATTTGAGATTCAGTAAGCATCATTTCTTGGACATTTTGAGAAACAAAATTCTCGAGATATAAAACTATACTGTTGAAGTGTATTGAGACAAATGAATAAATAGATTTGAGATTCAGTAAGCATCATTTCTTGGACATTTTGAGAAACAAAATTCTCGAGATATAAAACTATACTGTTGAAGTGTATTGAGACAAATGAATAAATAGATTTGAGATTCAGTAAGCATCATTTCTTGGACATTTTGAGAAACAAAATTCTCGAGATATAAAACTATACTGTTGAAGTGTATTGAGACAAATGAATAAATAGATTTGAGATTCAGTAAGCATCATTTCTTGGACATTTTGAGAAACAAAATTCTCGAGATATAAAACTATACTGTTGAAGTGTATTGAGACAAATGAATAAATAGATTTGAGATTCAGTAAGCATCATTTCTTGGACATTTTGAGAAACAAAATTCTCGAGATATAAAACTATACTGTTGAAGTGTATTGAGACAAATGAATAAATAGATTTGAGATTCAGTAAGCATCATTTCTTGGACATTTTGAGAAACAAAATTCTCGAGATATAAAACTATACTGTTGAAGTGTATTGAGACAAATGAATAAATAGATTTGAGATTCAGTAAGCATCATTTCTTGGACATTTTGAGAAACAAAATTCTCGAGATATAAAACTATACTGTTGAAGTGTATTGAGACAAATGAATAAATAGATTTGAGATTCAGTAAGCATCATTTCTTGGACATTTTGAGAAACAAAATTCTCGAGATATAAAACTATACTGTTGAAGTGTATTGAGACAAATGAATAAATAGATTTGAGATTCAGTAAGCATCATTTCTTGGACATTTTGAGAAACAAAATTCTCGAGATATAAAACTATACTGTTGAAGTGTATTGAGACAAATGAATAAATAGATTTGAGATTCAGTAAGCATCATTTCTTGGACATTTTGAGAAACAAAATTCTCGAGATATAAAACTATACTGTTGAAGTGTATTGAGACAAATGAATAAATAGATTTGAGATTCAGTAAGCATCATTTCTTGGACATTTTGAGAAACAAAATTCTCGAGATATAAAACTATACTGTTGAAGTGTATTGAGACAAATGAATAAATAGATTTGAGATTCAGTAAGCATCATTTCTTGGACATTTTGAGAAACAAAATTCTCGAGATATAAAACTATACTGTTGAAGTGTATTGAGACAAATGAATAAATAGATTTGAGATTCAGTAAGCATCATTTCTTGGACATTTTGAGAAACAAAATTCTCGAGATATAAAACTATACTGTTGAAGTGTATTGAGACAAATGAATAAATAGATTTGAGATTCAGTAAGCATCATTTCTTGGACATTTTGAGAAACAAAATTCTCGAGATATAAAACTATACTGTTGAAGTGTATTGAGACAAATGAATAAATAGATTTGAGATTCAGTAAGCATCATTTCTTGGACATTTTGAGAAACAAAATTCTCGAGATATAAAACTATACTGTTGAAGTGTATTGAGACAAATGAATAAATAGATTTGAGATTCAGTAAGCATCATTTCTTGGACATTTTGAGAAACAAAATTCTCGAGATATAAAACTATACTGTTGAAGTGTATTGAGACAAATGAATAAATAGATTTGAGATTCAGTAA